CATGTTGTTCGTCATGTTTCTGTACGTGTTTTATGATCGCTAAACCAACCATAAACAAAAAAAGGGCCCGGTGACTTGCGCTTTTCGCGTTACTTGATTGGTCCATTAGCTCGTAACGTCCGCTGCGTCAGGACTTAGGGCGAAACGAAGTATAGCCGCCAAGTCATTAATTATTTCACTTGTTCCACATATCTTCAACATTTTGCACGCTGTCGCCAAGAAAACGCTGTTACCGTCATTTTATAAATAAAGGACACGACAAAATAACGTGTGTTACTTTTTTATCGGCAACGGTACCGCGTTACTTCTATTTTGAGGTAGTATGGGTATGTAACCCGTTCTTTTTTCTTGCAAGTAACCAGTAACATACTTTGTTACTTTTATGTTGTAACGCCTACAACACTGCCTGTAAGGTGTGTCCAAAAAGAGATCGTATAACCCTAGAATCGTTGCCAATGAAGGAAGACGAATAAGTCGAAGTAGCTTTGTGGGAATCTAACGAACTGCTCAAGGAAAGAAATGGGAAGCAACGCATTTTGCAATGAACTCGCAAAGTGCGTAACAAAGTACTTCCCCCATTAATTCATCCGGCATGCTCAGCGGCTTGCGATAAGCTCAGAAAAGTCGCATCTCGAGGCTCGTGCCATCGTATTGCATTTTGATTTTGCGGAAAACTGGAGCGTCATTCTTCCGCGAGCAGAGCAATACTTTCATTGGAAGAACCGAATCGTGTCTATCTTCACCCGCTTCGCTACAACGAAGTGAAAAATCTACAGTTTTGGAGTTGTCACCGACGGCATCGAGCACAATACAGCACACGCACTGTTCGCTCTGCGGACAGTTGAAGAGTGGCTGGAAGAAAACATTTCGATATTTACTAAATGTATCCACACCCCCGACAGGGAGGCTAGTCATTAAAAAAAAAGCAGGTTTCAAATGGAGGAGATGGCGAAGAGATACGACGTGACCAAATTGATGTTTTTTTCTTAAGCTACGGGACACGGCAGAACTGCGCCTAACGGCGTGGAGAGAGCCCTCAAGCGCCAAGCCTCCTTGCACAACCTCAGGTGGTCAGAACCGGAAACCCCTGGAAGTAGTGATGACTTTGCTCGTGTAGTGGCCTCGAAAGTGCCTGGAACTGTACTCCTCAAAAGTGAAGCAGCATGCCTTGTTCAATATTATGACAAAGTAAAAAAAAAGAATGAAATTTATTTTTAAAGCATTCAATACTGCCATCTGTGGATGAAGGCTCGAAATAGAAATGGGTCTTTCAGGGTTGCGATAAAAAAAAAAAAAGCGAATCCTCAAAAGTAATGTTAACCTCCCTTAAAACCACTTTTTCTTTTATCACCATAAACGTTACTGTGAGCTTATAATACAAAAAAATGTTATGTAGCGTTATGCTTTTCTCCCGTTTATCTCTATGTTGTTTCCTCAAATAAAAAGAAAGTCAAGAAGTTTTAGAAGAGAATGCGGCCGCATGAAAGAAGCGCAATTTCGCACACTGCCAGCTAGGTTTCTGAAAAAAATTTATTTCGCCCCTTTATTGCCTGACATAGAGGTTTGTGAAGCCTAATTTTTATGCTTGCTAATAAAAAAAAACGTTTCAATAGGATTATTAAAGAAAAGTTGTCAATCTTAAAGGGGCCCTGCTACCTAGGCGTCTACCTTTTTTGCGGTTTCCACGTCTCTTGGGGTTCGGGCAAGCCAGCGGGCACGGAGAGAGTAACTAAATATCAGTGCGTCATATTTTAACCTGACGACGCGGAAACCTCCTCCACCGACGGAGGTGACTTGCGGTACTGAAAGCGCGCGATATGTGACGTCTTAGGTCCTGGGCTTACTGCTGGTCAGAGCTGCTAAAAGCTTTTAGTCGAAATACAAAATATAAGTGGAAATCAATTTTCTATAAAAGTAGGTTTTGTACAGTATAAAGGTTTTTGTTCAGTATTTTGCAGTTTATAAAATGCAGTTTATAAAGTACAAATGCAGTTTATAAAGTACGGAAACAAGAAATGACCCGTCGACATACCCGCTACCAAGCGGTGGAAAAGACGGCGCATACTAGAAAGGAGTAGTGGGATCAGGCGCAGACACGGAAAGGTCCCAGATGTACGCGGCGCCACTGCGGTCGTACGGACTGGATGATCCGACCGGCTCCGAGCGTTCCGGAGGCCTTCGGCGAGATGCTTTGTCTTGCGGTTTGGCCGTTTCGCGGTATGGCAGCGCGAAGTGGCTCTCACTCTGAACTGATCTTTACCCCGTGTTTGCTGTCGTTTGTGGCCAATGAAGTGTCATGCCGAATTAATGTCTAATGGCGCAGAAAATGCAATGAGAGCCGCTCTGGCTGCCCGCTGCATAGAGCCTATCCAGATTGTGTTTCAGTCACGGTGTAGGAAGGCTCTTTAGGTGTAGAGACTCCGCTCCCTGCCGCGACCAGACAATAGCGAGTTTTAGTAGACCGTGTTTCCCGCTCCGCTGAGCCCCACCGCTACCCGGAACTCTGCAGCCAAGGCCATCGGCGCGCAGGAGCGGTGGCGGTTTCTTCGTAGCGGAGGGCTAGCGGAGCGGGAAACACGGTCTACTAAAACTCGCTATTAGGGAGTTTTAGCAGACCGTGTTTTCCCCTCCGCTACGAAGAAACCGCCACTGCGCCTGCGTGCCGATGGCCTTGGCTGTGGAGTTCCGGGTAGCGGAGGGGCTTAGCGGAGGGGGAAACACGGTCTACTAAAAGTCCCTAATGACACCCCGCGCGCTTCGCTTCACGGAGCCACCCCCAGATGGCTCCGTAAGTTTCAGGCCATCCGGCAGCACACCGGGCTGCCTGTGCTAGCTGCCTGCTCGGCGTGCAGCTTGCTTTCCGGCGGCCACGGGTTCACGTGCGATGTGGTATGCAAGTGGGGCCACTCAACTATCATCTCTCTCAGCTCACTGAAGTTTTCGTAACCCGAAAAATGGCAGACGGACAAACAAGAGTAACTCCCTAATACCAGCCGTCGCGGCGGTCTACGAGTGAAAAAGAAATGTCCTTCTGCTGTAGATAATTTCTAGCCTAGCTTACATACCGTCGTTTGTTTCCTCGGTAGCGCAGTACTAACGTCGGTAAGCGTTTGTGAAATGAATAAACGCTGATTGCGCCGTAGGTAAACGATAACTTGAGTGCGACCGAAAGAAAAAAAAAAAAAGAATGCACAAAAATAAAGAATGATTAACACAAACCTTGTTAACAGATAATAAGGAACTGAATTGTTTTAAACTGCGTTCACATGACTTTTCTAAAAAAAAATATATATATTTTTTAGAAAAGGCAGCTAACGTGATTATTCTTTTACATATTAAGGCAGCCTTTGAGTCCTGCTAAATTGAACTGCTGGCCGAATATGCACGAAGTTACACATTTTGCACGCAAAGGTTAACGAAAGCAGCATTCTTTGAAAGGTTCACTTTGTTAGTACACTTACATTTGCATGTAGCAGATTGCAGCAAGTTTATTGGGGAGGATGGGGAGGACAGACCGTGACGCCCCAAGCGGTTAACTTAACAACTACACGGATGGGGACAACAAATACAATGACTCAGCGCTCGGCCGACATAACCGAACGCGGCGTCAGGGTTCGGCTGGAGTTCGTGTTCTCCGGTGAGGGGGACAGGCTCTTTTGTTTCCATTCCGGCCTGCATGAACAATGCAGCATACACGGTCCCAGCTCCGTACAAAAGCCGAAGTGGGTCAAGCTCGCATTTTCTGAGGATAGATCCGGCACTTAACGTCGCTTCGTCGATTGTTAGTATTTTTTACATTAAACTGTGCGCCGCCCTCTATTGTAGAAGATGACATGGACATGCCCATAAGACCTGTCGGCATTGCACAGTCCTTGTGTTGAGTAAACACCGAGCGTGGGGAAAACAAACGGGTCAGAGCGCCCCCTATAGTTCGATCTCCTGCCCAATAGTAACCACACTCGTCAAGAAAAGCAAACCGGTTTTATTAGTGGCACTTCTGATATAAGTATAATAATAATATCATCACAAACTTCAAAAGAAATAAAAAAATAATCGCTGTTAAAAAAAGACGCTGTTCAGGCATTGTTTAGTGTATGACACACTCTATAGATGCTTTTGGAGTTCCACATTACGAGTCGCACAGTCGGAACTCTTTCTTTTTTTCTCGAGACTGCTTTTTTGCATCTCGGTGTTTTCCTTTGCAGTCCTGTCGCATTTTCATGCGATCGGAACCCTTTTGCACGTTCGACCGAAACCGGAGAAGCGTCTGCCTTCCATGGAGGCGTCTGCATTCCACGAGAGCGCCAGACAGAATCCGACCATGAAGAGATGGGCAGTCTGTGTCTGCGTCTACCGCATGCAAGACAGTCCCCTACTAGTCGCCCTCAATTCGGAGAAGAACGACCCAGCACGTGACCGATGCATTCGGCAGACGTCTTTATCCTGATCGTCTCTTTTACTAATATTTCCCTTTGTTTTCCCTTTCTAAAATGTTTACGTTTCCCCAGGCTGGGGAGCAGTCGGCGCGTTCATTCAAATGTTTGGCTATTTCCGAATTCAGACCTTTGGATTTTCCATTTCTTTTATGCTCAATTTACCATTAAAAAAAAAAAAAAAAAAAAAAAAAAAAGTTGGAAATTTTTAGAGGCGCGTAAGCAATGGGTGACTTAGCCCACGTTCCGGCGGAGGGCCGGCGACCGGACGGCCTGAACGTTTTGGCGCCCTTTAGGGCCAGGCGGAGAAAACATAAGAAAGAAGAGGGGACGTGATGTGTTCATCGTTCCGACAAACCCCCCCCCCCCCCCCCCCCCCCCCCCCCCCCCCCCCCCCCGCTCCCGAGGAGAGGAGTCTCCACCCCACACCTAAAGAGCCTTCCTACACCGTGTAGGGAGCCTACATACTCGCCGACTCCGTCTGTAGGGTGGTGTCATCCTTTGACACACCACTCGCCGCCGCCCGCCGCCCACCAGTGTTGCCAGCATCGGTTGCCATGGCCACCAGAAGGCGCCGCGCCATCTTGGTCCCCAGCGCTGCCCGCTCGGCGCTCGTCCAGCCAGGCTGGCCAGGCCTAGCTTCGGTACTCGCAACGGCGTCGCACCGTGTTCATTCTCCGGCTGGTGCTGGTGTGTTTTGCGGAGTCGTTCGCAGCGAAGAAGTGTGGTAACAAGAGAGGCGTGAGAAGCAGAAATGCCTGGCTGTTCTGTTCCGCAGTGCACGAACCACTGCAGACGGGGCACACGTATGTTCCGCTTCCCGAGTAGTCCTACTCGAAAGAAACGTTGGCTCGCTCAAGTCAAACGAGACCGCTGGGAACCCACTGCAGCTGCTCGTGTTTGCGCCGTGAGTATAAGTTTTGTTGCACCTTGATCGCAAGTGTAAGTGGGATGTTTAGCGTCACTCTGCAAAAAGCGAGCGTCTCCGGTTGCGCGTCGGGAGCACATAAACAACGTCGCGAGTTCCGAATTCGAGCCTTAGCGGCATTGCAATATCACAGATTGAGACGGAGCCTGCGTTCTCCGTATCAGGGTTTGCTCGCCGCACGTCGATCTCAGGACGCGCGCGTTGCACACGCGTTTTGAATGCACCGATGAGGGTACCGGGACATTTCATCGAACGCCGATTCATCGCACGCCGTTTCATCGAATCACTTGACGCTGTTTCATCGAATTTCCCTTTACTGAATTTTGGAGTAATACAATACTTTTTACGTAATCTACTCTCGTCTCTGAAATAGTTTTGGCGCCGGTCGAAATTCACCGGGAATAGAATTACTACCCGGTCAATTTTTTGTCCACCTAAACGTTGACTACTGAATCATAGAAGGTAGCTATCATATCAGAACTTGATGGATACGCGACTTATGCTTTTCTGGCGAGGTAGGCGGAGTTTCTCGGCCACACACTTTTTCCCACTTCATCTGTCTATTTATTGCCTTTCACCGCAGTGAAAGTGCCTTTCACTGCGTGAAACGCACTTTCTTAAGAGGGAAACAGCTATTCTCTGCAGCACCTTTTTTATTTTGTATTTGTCGATTTACCTGTGTTTTCATTTTATCCTAGGAGAATTGCTTTCTTTTTAAGAACATATATGTTCTTAAAAACGACGAGTCTCCCCTTTTCGTTAATTTATTGTAACCGACAGAATTGTGGACTTGTCCGATCTTTGACACATCTTTATTTCCCCCGTATCATGGGACACGGAGACAAGCTGCTTCAAGGACGGCTTCGTCTTGAAGCAGAATCTATCACTGCACCTGATGATCACAGCTTTAAAAATGTTCGTTAGTGCTCCCGTTTCTTATTGGCCTCATTAACGGAGGTCATCATTTATTAAAAAAAAATAGAAGGTGACCAAAAAGATTTCTTCTTTTTATATATGTATAAGTTTATAAATTATAATAAATATTAAAACACTGCTATCCTCCCGGCGCTAAAAGAAAGAAAAATATTTCCTAGATGTAGAATTCCTACTGCTCAAGCAGGTGGCGTTCGATGAAACGGCGTTCTCTGAAACGGCGTTCGATAAAACTGCGCTTGATAAAACTGCTTCGATAAAACGGTGTTTTATGAAATGGCGTTCAAAGAAATATCCGGACCCACACCGATGAGTACTATCAAGTTTGTTCGGGAAACAAAAATACAAGCTTCGTTTACCAAGCTGCTGCAAACAACGGTTTGGCTCAGGATTTATATTAAAAAACAAGGGTTTTGAAAACATTTTGATAAGGACCTAGTTTTTGCTTACTCGATTTTTCTCGACTTGTTCAGCTTCCAAAAATATTTCTTGAACACATTTTTCGCAAGCCTCTTCACCACATAGTGGTTCGTTCACAGGATTAAATTTTTGGGATTGATTTCAAATCGAGAAATTAAAACATTGCTAAAATTAGGTAGTTTTCAGTAATTTGATTAAGTCCCGTATGCAGGTGTGTATTGGATACATTGATCCAGTAATGCCTCTTCTGTTTTTTCGTTTGGCTAACGCTTGACTAGCGAAGCAACAGCAGACCTCACGTAACAACTGTGAGTGTGTTAAAAAAATTTAGTTGGTGATGGAGTTCACTCCTAATTCTGTTTATAGTGTTAGTCAACTAAACAAGCAGGCACAGTGCTGTCTTTGGAGTATTTGCTAACTAATTTAAAATTCACTTTTTTTTAGGCTCATTTTGAGGACAGCAGTTTCGAACAAAACCGGCAGGACGGGTTGAAAAAACTGAGGCCAGATGCTGTTCCAACACTTTTTCCTTATCGTGGTAAGTTTTAATATTGTGTAAGCATGTTCATAGGTCTATTTGAGTGGACTTCTGAACTTCCAAGGGTTTATTTTTGTGTAATATTTTAAAACTGTTCTTTCCCAGCATTTTCTTGTTACACAATGCATGCTTAATGTAACATTCTCTCTGAACTACAGTCTTATATTCTCGTCTTTTGTAGACTTCGTAAAAAGAAATATGGACAGACTAGTTCTCACAGTACCAAGATCGTTAATTGTTAAACAGTTTGAACAACTAGACGTGATGCGCAAACAGTTTGGGTCCGCAACCTCTAAAGCGTTTGAATGCCGCCTGGCAACACTCTATTATTTATTTCATAGCATTCTATCTAGTACCTAAGGACTGATAAAGAAAACCTGTATATTTTTAATATTGTGTTTTTTTCAGTCTCTTAAAAATGCATATGCATTAATACTAATTTATATATGTTTATTGACTTTTTACAGCCATCCCAAAACACAGAAAGGCCCCCAAAAAGCGTGCTCAGGGATCAACAGCCATTCCATCACCACCAACTCTACATGGCAGCACAAGCGACGCGAACCGTGCTGCTTCACCTATGCATGCTTGTACAGTGATGGCTACCCCACTGCCAGAAGCTCTCGACGTCACTGCCACAGACACTGCTCAGTCCAAGCGTGCGTGTGCAGCAACAGCCGTTCCATTGCCGTTAACCTTTGACGACAGTGTAACCACCAAGGACAATGCTCCTCGATCAAAGCGTATTTGTGCAGCGGCAGACATTCCACTGCAACTTGCTCTCGCCGACATTACAAGCAACATAAACAACGCTGCTCAGTTCAGGTATGCTTGTGCAGCAACAGCCATTTCTATGCCACTAGCTCTCGACATCTCTGCAAGCAGCACAGACAACGCCCCAGCCAAGCGTGCCTGTGCAGTGACGATTGTTTCAATGCCGTCAGCCCCCGACGAGAGCGCAACCACTACGAACAGTGGGTCCGATACTTGCTGCTCATCGGCAGCCTTTTTACGGCAACCAGTTCTCGACAACAGTGCAAGCGACATGGACAATGCTGCTCAGTCCGAGTATGCTTCTGCAGTGACAGCCGTCCGTCAGCCACTAGCTTTTGATATCTCTGCAAGCAACACAGAAAATGCTTTATTCATGCAGGATTGTACAGCGACAGCCGTTTCACTGCCCTTAGCCCCAAACGACAGTGCAAGTACCACAGACAATGCTCCCCGGTCAAAGCATACTTGCACAGTGACAACCGTCCCACGGCAACAACCACCTCTCGACAATGGAGAATGTGACCCGGACCACCATGCTCGATCTCCCCTTTTCATTACCCCAGAGCCCAGGTCTGAGCTTGTTTGTTCTACTGCATTGGAACAACCCGGTGGTTTTCCAGTTCCAATTGTTCAGGAGCTGAAGGAAAAATTGCAGCCTGAAGTCGGGTCTTCAGAAGGACTAACAAGCTCGTCCGCTGTTTTCACGTTTGGAAGTAGTACCACCCAAAGTATGTTACTGATGCATCGCCAAAACTCCGAGCTTCGAAAGAAAAACTCCGATCTAGCCCGGAAGTACCGAACCTTGCAAAGGCTCCATGATGAAGCCAAATCAAGACTGCGAAGTCTCACAAAAAAACTGACATCAGCTCAGAAAGAAATAAGTGCTTTGAAAAGTTCAAGATTTCTGAACACAGACCAAACAAAGGCTTTGACTGTGAAATCAATGAAGGGACATAAGTGGTCAGAGAAGACTATTCGAGTTGCCCTTCAAATTAAGCACGCATGCGGTACATCAGGGTATGAACTGCTGAGGTCCCTGTCATATCCGCTACCCTCGAACAGAACGTTGATTCGGAGACTCCAACACATTAAGTTTCTGCCTGGGGCTCTTGACGAAGTTTTTGAAGTGCTAAAGCGGAAAGTGCAGACTATGGAAGACATAGAGAAAGACTGTGTTCTCTTTATGGATGAGATGGAGATTAGTCAGGGATTTGACCACGACAGTTCGCTGGATCGTATTTTTGGAAGCACCACACTCCCAGAATCCCGTGTGAATGTTGCGAACCATGCCCTTGTGTTTATGGTTGGGGGATTAAACACGCGGTGGAAGCAAGTGATTGCATACCACTTCACTGGACGATCAACTGACGAAAGTGCTTTGAAGGAGCTTGTCTTTCATCTCATTGAACTATGTTTCAACATCTCTCTCAAGGTGCTCATAGTTACAAGCGACATGGGATCAGCAAACCGTGCTGTGTGGCGTCTGCTCAACTTTTCAAATCACAGGCACTCTGAGACCGTGTGTTCTGTCCCACACCCACACCTCGACGGGAGACAGCTCTATTTCATGGCTGATCCAGCGCATGTTTTAAAAAATATTCGTGCCCAGCTGCTTCGTTCAGAGACCTTTACTTTAGGAGAAGAGACTCTGAGAGAGCACAACCTCCCAGGAGGGACCGTGGACATCCACCATGTTGAAGCTGTTCTTGCATACGATGCAAACAATGAACTCAAAATCGCCAACAGGCTTTCTGGCATTCACGTCAGCAATGGACATTTCACAAAAATGAAAGTGAGCATTGCTGTGCAATTGTTCCGTGAGGCTCCTCCCGCAATCCGCTACCTAATTCAGCAAAAAGTCTTGCCGCCTGAAGCTGAGGCAACAGCCTGGTTCTTTGATTTAGTGACTAGGTGGTACACCTTGATGTCGTCACGTCACCCAATGGTCGCTCTGAGTCATTTTGATGCTGCAAAGCACACGGAAGCACTCGGGACTTTGGACCTGGCAATCACCACCTTCTGTCGGATGGACATGGGAGCAACAGCTCATTGGAAACCGTCGCAGGCCGGGCTTCTTGTTTCTACCACTGTCGTTCTGCGCCTGTCTGACGAACTTCTGAACAGGCACAACTATAAGTACCTTCTCACGGGCAGGTTGAGCCAGGACTGCCTTGAGAATATTTTCTCTGTGCTGCGACTCAGAAAACCCGTGCCAAGTGCATATGACATTAAGTGTGCTTTGAAGTTGATCTGTGTCAGTCAGTTTCTCTTCACCCCGACATCTTCCAGCTACAATGTTGATGACAGCATGCACCTGGCTGACCTCCTTGATCCAGCCCTCAAGAAGCAGGTGCAAGATGTCAACCAAGAGTCTGAAGAGCTGGAGAACCTGTTCGTGTGTGAACTAACTGCAGTCGAGTGCGACATTCTGGCCTACCTGGGAGGTTTTATTCTTAGGTTTGTCAAGAAGTCTATTGGCAACTGTGAGGACTGCGAAGGTGTCCTAGTGTCGGATGGTAATGATACGCACAGCAGTTTGATTCATTTGAAAGAGTATGTCAAGGGTGCTGGGAACCTTGTCTACCCCAGCCAAGCTGTGATGAGTGTCTTGATAGAGTGCGAAGAGAACATCAAGGCTTTTACCCAACTAGACGCCATCTTGACGCTCAAGGCTCCATTTGCCACTATTCTGGAGTTCCTGCGCAAATCTGTAACATTGGAGTTAGGGTGCTGTGACATACACAAAGCTTGTGTGGAGAAGATTCTTCTTGAAAAGTATGTCAGAACAAGAATCAGGATTCACCTGCGACAGCAGTACGCACAGGAAGTAAACGGAGCGTCGAGCAAGACATGTGCTGCGGCAAACTTGAATTAACCGCTGAATGGTGTGTTTTATCACGAAGAGTACTTCTCAATTCAGTGATATTGTGATTTATTGGTACATGTTGTCACCAGTGAGTGATGAATCTGCTTTCTTGTAAATATTATTTGGTCTTTTGCCTATACTCTTATTTTATGCTCTTATTATTGTCTGCTGTCCTACTTCAGAACATGTGTGTCACGTGATTTGTGCCCTGCACGTCTTTCTAAGTATTAAATGTTCAGTAAGTTTCATAAATGTAGCAGGCTGCATTCATTTACACTGCACTACACTTTTAGCACGAACACGCCACCAGCGCTTTTTCTCATTTTGCTCGAATAGTGGATTAAGAGATGCAAATTTTTGTCGCATAAGTTGATGCCCGAATGAGCCCTTTCCACTAAATAAGTAGCTTTGGTGATATCATTTTCTTGTAAAAGTTGAACAGTGAAAACCGGGTATTGCTTCTTTACGCTAACAATGTCATGCTGTGGACATTGTCTTTTTTAACGTGACACATTCTTTGGCTAGTTCTAGATTTCATGAAGCCAGATTTGCGAATGTTTATCAGCTTTTCTAGCTATCTTAGTTCCCTCTCTTACTGACTCGTTCACCGGCACAAAGGGAATCTTTTTCCTACTGCTGAGCAAAATGATAATGGCAAGGTCAATGACAGGACAAGAACCGGCCCCTAGTCATCTTTTCTGATGACCAGCATCCAGCACGTGCTCATTGCCTTCTGTCCTGTTCTGGCTGCACGTGTTCACGCTCAAACTTCACGAGATGCGAAGAGTTATCGAAGGTCGGGAATCTCATGCTAGAGGAATGATCAGTGGTGTAGCTACGCCATCCGGCGCCCGGGGCCCTTATGTCTTTTGTCCTTGAATTGAATTGAATTGAATTGAAGTTTATTTGACATATGAAATGCCGGGGAGGGAGGAGCAAAAGGTTGCCGAAGCTACCTGACGAGGCTCCATTCCCCTTTTCGGCGCTACAGCAGTCGCAGCAGCAGTGTGGAAGTCGTAATAAAATTCAAGGTGAAAATATTTTCACAGAAACGGTTTTGACATAAATTAAACACAAACAAAACACAAATTAAACACAAACTAAACACAAACCAGACACAAACTGGGATGATTTGCCTTAAATCGATTCAGGAGCTGGTCAAATCCCACAAACAATATAAATATATATATATATATATATATAACGAAATAAAATTGGGGGGGGGGGGGGGGGGGGTTCTGGCACCTGAACACCCCCCTTGGCTACGCGCTTGCAAAGGTGGCACCCCCCCCTCCCCCAATAACCGTCCCCCTTGACCCCCCCACCTTTGCTACAACACTGGGAATGATCGTGACTGAAAAGCCCCTTTAACGTTTTTGTCCTAGTCAATTAGCTCTTCACCAGAACAGGTCGCAAAATTCAGGGACTTGAAGAATTCATTGGCAACTTTCCTCCAAATATGTCATATTAGTCAAATCTTTTTATTAAAATTTCAAGTCTAATAAAAAAAAAACTAAGAAAAATGCGTTTTCATTTTTTACTCCAATTTGCAACTGTAAACCGTAATGGGAAAATGTGGACATAAAGGTTATTTTAGGAGAGTTGCTGCCTTTTTTATGAGCAATTTTAGTTGCATACGACATTTTTGGGTGAAAACATTAATTTATTCATCGTATGAATGAGCCCAAAAAACTCGCCTTTTAAGCTAAGTACCACCATCCATCACCACAAAACAGTTTTTCTGCTGCTAAATGACGTAAAAAGTCACTGTACCAACGAAATCTGTGCAAATTGCTACCCCTGCACCGTTTTCCGCGCAAAAGCTGGGGACCAAGATGGCGGCTCGTCAGGTTTGGCGGCCGTCTGAGCGGGCGCTTGGCAACAATGGTTGGAGTTGTCACCACCCTAAAAGACGGAGTCGGCGAGTATGTAGGCTCCCTAACACCGTGGTTTTAGTGGCGCCCTCTCGCGCCGTCGACACGGAGTGCGGCAGCCGTGAGCACTTGCCTAGCACACTAAACTTCTTCTAGTTCACGACCACTCAAGCAACCAAGGACGTCATGAAGGAGGTTATTTTTTGCTTGTTTTTGTAATTTTAACTTGCCTTTAACTTCTAAACTAAAGCGAAATTCGAGAAAAGAAGAGTTTTATTAATAGCGAGTTCGTTTCACGGCACTCGTGCCCACGCGTGCCCACTCGCAGCGTGGAACGGGTTCGTTTCGGCCGGCGCTCCACGAGTGGTTGCACTCTCCGAGTTCATTTCAGCGCTGACACCCTGACACCCCACGCGTGCATGCACTCGCTGCACCGAGAAAATCGGGAGTGCGCCAAAATGCAATCCCGTCATGCCTCGCTCCGGCGGGGCCGGCGAGGAGCGGGAGCAGACGACGAGGGTTCGTCTGCTACGATGTGTCGAGGGTTCGTCTGCTACGATCGCGGAACCGAAAGGAAAAAAAGTAGATTTTCTGATAGAAATCGCGTCCCGCGGGAAACGAAATCAAACGCGAGCTTGAATTGTGAGCGCCTGCTATTTCACGGAGGAAGCAATTGACAACCCGTGATTTATTTGCAGGTTTTAAATCGCTCTGTTGCTGTACAAACGCTGTAATTTACCAGTGTGTAAGGAAATGCTCAGAACAAACGCAACAGCGGCCCCGAGATGTCGATCACCATCCGTGCGCGGGTGAAAAATTTAACATTTGTCGATAAAACTCCCCCAGCAGAAACCTCTGACTGCCCAATAAGCATCAGAGAAAACTAAAGATGGTGACTTTACCTGAGGATTGGGCAACATCATCACGTTTAACATTTACCTACGCAGCTAACTTGCCCCGTCGTATTTTGTTTGAGAAAGCTCTCGTTCTCGACGCCCTCACCAAGGCTAATATCTAACCCACCTATAATGACGATCCAAATCGAAAGTCCCAGTTTTGCTGGATATTCCAACAGGCTAGTTTTAAGCCGTACCCTTTCAGTGGTTCACGAATAATACCATGCTCAAACGGATCAAGCTTTTGCTCGGACAGCATCATCAGTTTTCTTCTGTGTAAACGGTTATAAGGATTGAAAGATCGCAACCAGCTGTTTTGTAGACAGCAGGTTGCGGAAATTTACGCCGTCTGTAACTATCTCTACGGCAGCCGAGCTGCTTGAAGACATCGCAACTATAAACTACAGGTTGCAGTTGCCAATGTTTGTAGATAAACGTTGGTAGCGACTGCATTCTCGCATTCCCACGCATCTCGGAACAGAAAGGCGCTAGTTTCGGTTTGAAGTCGGTACCTTTTCTACAACATAGATGGCGGCAGCATCAGTCTTCTGCACTCGGTGCATTTGGCGAGTTCGTTTGAGTCCAGTTTTCCGTGCAACACTCTGTGAGTGCGATGCATTCTGGGAGAGATCTAGAACGGTGCCAGTGCGTGTGAAACGAACTCGCTATAAGTTACTACGTTCAGTGCGCTCAGGTTCGGTGGAAATTAAAAACCAGTAAAAAAAAGTCCTTGAGATTATGAAAAAGATTTCATAAGTGAACTGGACATATGAATGAACTTTTTTTAATTATAACATACTACCAATCATGGCATATTTTTACTAAATGGTATATGATGTATATCATAAATAATATGGTCACCGTTACAAGCATATATATATATAATTACGTAAAAGATTTGGCAATGGCCCATATGTTTTCATCTTTGGATAGAGGTAAAACCATGTCCTTTTCAAAGGCACTGCTTAACATGACAAAACCATATATGCCAAAGAAATTTTATCGCATATATAAAAACACATATAAAACTTTTCCTATAAAAATTTATAAAAAAAATCTGTTTTTAAAATGACGTTGAATTTAGTATTTTTGGCATTTCTTCTCGAGTTTTCAGTGTTGTTTCTTCATACAAACTACACCTAAATTAACATTATAACTTCTAAATTGGCTTAAATTTGCTCTTGTTCTCCTTCTCCAGGGATTGTTTTCGTCATTCTTGTCCAGCTCACTTGGATCTTTGCATTTAATTGTATTATATTCATAACCTTATAATGCAAGCCCATCACCCTTGTTGGTGCTAGATTGGTGGCAGCTGATAAAACCTGTTTGCTCTACTGACATCTAACCCCTGTTTAGCTCAGTTGGTAGAGCACTCCACTGGAAATAAAGAAGTCCCGGGTTTGATACCCGTACCAGGCTGATTTTTTTGGTCGCGCACCAGTCACCTAGGTAGCTGTGTTTGGAGATTTGCGTTTGTCCTTTGTCCCTTTTGTTCGAAAGCTAGCTCTGTTTAAACTTGGCCGATTATTGTGAAAGATGCAAGATTCAAAAATATTTATTTTATAAAATAATATACCGTAAACACACTTTTAGAGAGCTTTATGAATTCAAAACGAAGTCTTAAAGCAGTAAAAAAAAATTACAATTGTAGTGAAAAAAAAAATCTAGAAGTTTTGAGACTCCAAATGCTGTCACTCATGAAAAATGGCAAGACATACCTTCTGCCCTTTGGAAGCCCAAAACCAAAGAAAAAAACATGTTCCGTAGTTCTAATTTGCAGTTCTGTTCTAGTCACACATTTACCACCAACATATATATTTTTTTCCAGAATTTTTTTGAGGATCTATTATTTTTTCTTTGTACGATTTGAGATGAAATCTCCAATATGGGTATGCCCATGACCCTGATAGACAAATCCACTTTGTTTCCTTCCAAGAACTGAAAACTGTCCCATGTAGTCTGGTTGGAAGTGGCTTGCCATGAGCTGTTTGACATGCAAACACATGCATCCTGTACTGGAGATCTTATGTGCTTTGCAGATATCGCTTGTGTTGACACTAGTGAGCTTGGAGACAACTTTCTGTGGCATTTTTGAGGAGAAGAGCGCGTGCAAAGGGCAGATGTCGCCATACTTTTGACTGCAGTGCCCCAGAAAATTGTCCCCAGACATAGATGGAGGTATGCAAAGATATGCTCTTGCAAGCTTTACGAGCTGCACATAATGCACCTTAAGCAATTTTCTTTATTTTCTTTTAGATTTATGAATGTCCCCATACCACTGTACCCACGCTTTGTATTTCTACTTTGCAGAAACCAATTGCCACCCCCAGCACTTGTGGGACATCAAAACAATGCAGCTTGCACAAAACATGAGCAAAACAACCTTGGTTCTAGGTTTTTAAAGTAAAATAGACCTGCAAGTTTCATGATGATCCTACAAAGCTGTTATGAATCACACACCTGACAAGCTTGCAAATGAACCTGCCTCGAAAAAAGACTTCATGTGCTCAGCCGCTGCAAGAAAGAGGTTGCTTTGCCGACATTGAACAACCCGTCTAACAAGTATTCTAAATTTACAAATTATATGTTATTATGTTCAATTCAAGGTTGAATAGAATATACTATTATTTCGAATGACATTACAAAATTTATTCACAACTATAAAATCAAAGTTCAACTGATATCTCAAACGTGGCCAGATACCAATAATACCAGAAGTAGAAATGCATAACTCAAGGAACATGTAACACAATGCATGGAAAAGAAAAAAAAGAGAGAATAAAAAATTGAGCCAGGCTCGGTTTAAAGGTAAAAGTAGAAAATGCTACAAAAAAGAAGGCTCTATGAACACAGCAAAAATATTAAAATGTAGCAAAACAGCTGCACTTAGAATAGAAAGGAAAACCATATTCTGTGAAGTGTTTACCAAATGTGAATCCATGTCAAACAACCGCTGAAGGCATGGCAATGAAATTCAGTTGAACCTCAATTTAACGTGTCAATTTAACATCTTATCTAATAAAAGTTGTGGTGTGATGCAATACTTTTTCCTTCAAAGACCATAAATATTTTTCTCAATTTAGCAAATTAATTTTGCTTTTTTTTTTATTTGACGAAGTCTGCACACATTATTCATGCACATTGCACAGTAACCTCCACAAAAAGCAAAAAGAAAATCTCTACTGAAACAAATTTTAATGCCCCTGCAGATACCAAACATTACAAAAAGTGAAAGACGTTTACAATTCTCTGTAATGTGAAATTAGAGCACAGCTCTTGAGGAGGAGGAGGGGAGAGTATGGAGGGAATTTTAGCTAAATTTCACACTAAATTTAGTGAAAATTTTTCTGCTAAATTTAACGGGTTAAGTTTCCCCGCTAAACTTAGCGAGAAACTTTTTGCGAAAACTTACCCCGCTAAATTTAGCAGAAAATTTAGTGGGAAAATTTTCTCGCTAAATTTAGTGGGTTAAGCTTCCCCACCAAATTTAGTGAGGTAAGTTTCCCCGCTAAATTCAGCAGTGAAATTGACATCGCATGACCTCAACACCAATTCAGTTTCCCTGCTAAAAGAAAAACTATGACTTCCCATGAAGGAATTGATGGAATGCACGCGATTATGCCGACACCGAAGTGGCACCGCTCAACCTGGAAACGGGTGCCTAAGAGGTGCGCTCTAAAAGTGAGATCCCTGCCTTACCTTATGAGAAAGTGAGAAAAAAAGAAACCACCGGTGATCATAATAGCTCGTATAAAAAACAATAGCCTGCAACAGTGGTTAATGACCAACAGAGCAACTATGCCAATACTTGTCTACAATGCCAAAGCTTTCCGTGTCTTCATCGTTGTGCATGAACTAGGGGCCCTGCAATCATATTTAAGCGTCTACCCTTTTTGCAGTTTCCACGTCTCTTGGGATTCGGGAAAGCCAGCGGGCACGGAGAGAGTAACTAAATATCAGTGCGTCATATTTTAACCGGACGACGCGGAAACCTCCTCCACCGACGAGGGCGACCCGCGGTACCGAAAGCGCGCAAAATGTGACGTCTTTGGTCCTGGGCTTACTACTGGTCAAAGCCGCTGAAAGCTTCTTTTTAGTCGAAATACAAAATGTAAGTGGTGCGAACCGTTTCGATTATTTATAAAAGTAGTTTTTGTTCAGTATTTTAGGTAAAAAAAAAAGAAACGAATGCAGTTCATAAAGTATGGAGACAAGAAATGATTGGTCGACATACCTGCCACCAAACGGTGGAAAAGGCGGCGCATACTAGAAAGGAGTAGTGGGATCAGGCGCCGACACGGAAAGGTCCCGGATGTACACGGCGGCGCTGCGGTCGTATGGGCAGCAAGATCCTACCGGCTCTGAGCATTCCGAAGGCCTTCGGCGAGAAGCTTTGTCTTGCGGTTTGGCCATTTCGCGGTATGGCAGTGCAAAGTAGCTCCCATTCTGAACTGATCTTTACCCAGTGTTTGCTGTCGTTTGTGGCCAATTAAGTGTCATGCCGAATTAGTATTTAATCGCGCAGCAAAGGCAATGAGAGCCGCTCTGGCTGCTCTGGCTGCAAATGCAATGAGAGCCTATCCGGGACATGCTTTAGTGGTGCCCTCTCGCGCCGTCAACACGGAGTGCGGCAGCCAATGTTACTAAAACACTCAGTTGGGAAGCTTTGAAAAAATGGCCCCAATCTGTCTCCGACACCGAGCTAATGACGAACACAACGCCCCCATTTCTCCTGCAGCGGCCACTCGAAGAACTGCACGTGACTTGTATTTTGGCTTTAAGAACAGATACAGCAGTAGAGGTTACAGGGGTGCCACCCCCGTGCCCCCGGCGGACGCGCCGCGTTCAACTACTGAAGTTAAAATGCACCTAGGGCGGGATGCGCTACCTGAAAGGCCCGCTGAGGCATGGTTGTATGAAAACAATACTAATTGTTCCGCAAAACCCTGCGAACTAAAGATGATAAAAACATCACGCGCCCATCATTTGGTGCTAAACTCCAATAAATTTCATACAAAAAGAGTCTTTTCTGTTTGTTTTTACGCAAAAACAGGCTTTCAAAAAGCTCGAGGTGACCATAGTACACACAAACGAAAAAGAGTGGCGCTGTTGTCGCATTTAGCTCGGTCTCTGTGGACGCCAGCAGCCCAGGTTTCGACGGCGAGTTTCCCAACTGAGTGTTTTAATAACGTTGGCGGCAGCTGTGAGCGCTCGAGGAGCTCACTACTTCTCCTCTAGTTCACGGCCACTCTCAAGCAACCAAGGATGTCATAAGGGAGGTTATTTTTTGCTTGTTTTTGTAATTTTAATTTTCCTATAACTTTTAAAATAAAAGGAATTTCGAGAAAAGAAAAGTTCCACGGAGTTACTACGTTCAGTGCGCTCAGGTTCAGTGCAAATTAAATATTAGTAAAAAAGTCATTGCAGGGCCCCTTTAAACAATGTGTAACCCTGAGCAAAAAGATCTGGAGATCCAAGCCTAGGAACGTGCCTTTCAGTAAAGGCACTGGCTGTTTGCTTTTGAGTTGGAGAGCACTTTGCAACAGTTCAAGTAAAGACCATTTTTGAGTGACATGGTGCACGAAAATCCTGAGACTTTGCTTGCATGCAATCACTTCAAAGTGAAATTTAACGAGTGCAAAGCATTGTTGCAAAGGTGGTGAGTGCCGAACAAAATCGGACTTGCCGACTAGGTATGTGACCATGCCGGATGCACATCTTGCCGTGTTACGACATCCCAAATATACCTACCAATGCTTATCCACCACTTTCTAAAGAACTGGTGCCCCCTGCCGGATAGTTGGCTTGAGGATACCTTGATAGGAAACTCATGGAAACAAGGAACGTCATTAGAAAGTAAAGGAGAGAAGCTTCTTTGTATGAATTTAGGGACAAAAAATAAGCCACAATGGGCACAAATCGAATGTTCTTTTAGGAACTCAATCTAGGTCACCACAACTCAATGAAGCCAGCAGAATCCAGCTTTGTTGCTCGAAAGGATGTTTGTGCTCACTCGTGCCATGCCCAAGCAACTTCACACTGAAAAAAATCTAAAAATGGGAATTTGAAAAAATGGTGGACCCTAAACAGGCTCTTCTGTAGGTTGACAACTGAACCAATTGACAGAGATTTCGAAATGGAACTGTAGCTGTGTCCCTCTTTTCGACAACTGATTTTTCCAACTCGGCTCAGGCGGGACTCTGGCTGTTTTCCAAACCTTATTGGAGTGGATCACTCCAGCCCTACGGCAGATTGTATTCTCTAACAAATGAGATAGAGCAGCACTGGATGCGGGAAGGTTTTAGAATGGAAAAGTATGAAACTCAATGCAACAATGTCAGACCTGAACTATTCAGAATCGGCAGGTAGGTTATGCCACCTGACGACATGTTTCGCAATCTCACTTCACTGGTTCGACATGTATCGGACATTATTTAAAACGACGGTCAGTATGCACCTCATTCTCATAATATTGGCACAGTTTGCGGAGCAATATTCGTAAATGATCATTTACAAAATGCGAGGCCCTACAAAAGAAACCTGGGAGATTAAATGCGTTGCTAAAAAATGAAAACTCTTAATTAAGCAAAAAGATATCTGCGATTCAGCAAAGCCTTCAGCTCAAACAATGACTTGATTAGATCAAGGTTCAACTATGGTACGAGACATTTGGCAAAGAGAGTTGCATGCCTTGTCCAGGCCTCATGGTAGATCATTGGCTGCCAGTTTGGGTCTACTCCAGTAGTTCTTTCTCAGCAAGCACTCTCTTCCTCTCACTTATCTCTTATTTAAAAGTAACTCTTGTATTCAAGACTATGGTCCCCAAAGTAAGTGTTGTTAGACCACAAACAAAGTGATACGAAAAGCATTAAAAAAGCATATAAACATTGATCCCAAAAAGCCCAGTCCGACGTGTACACAGTGCAGAACACGAAAGATAACCTATCTCCCTAAGAATGCGGAGCTAGCCCGTCTGTCGGTGACTAGGTACAGTGTCACTTTGCTTGTGGCTTAAGGAACAGCAAAAGTGACACCACTTGGAAAGGCTTCAGGTTGAGGTAGATCACACCGCCACTGCAGGGCACTAGTTCTCCCTTGTCTTCGAGAGCACTGCAAGCAAACACCTGTCCGATGGGCAGAGACGTTGTTACGGTGATCATAGCCTCCCCACCGTACGCCTCGTATAGCCGCAACACCAGGGCACTCTGATGACGCTCAGCATGCTTCACCGTCTCGAGGATAACTGCCGGGGATGACACCTTGGAAAAAGTAAAAAGGTCAAAATTAGTAGACTCCGGAAAACATAAGAATATTACCGTAAAATCCCAAGACGCTCCACCCTCGAAAGATAGCCTACCCTTATGTTTGGCTTGATTTTCTACATTTTTTTAAACACCGAAAGATAACCCACTCCTAGTAATAGTGATGTTGGGATCAATGATGGCCTTGGCGTAAATGCGGCTAGTTAGCTATGGAGGGATATAAGCGAACATTGCTTACTGGGAAGTACAATCCTTTTTGCTTCGTTGCCCCTCGCCACGACAACAAGCTTGGAAGGGACAAACGACGTAAAAATAACATTTGCTCAACTTTTCTTGATTGTACACCGAAAGCTAGCCCTCACCACGTTTTCACTCAATTTGGTCTTGATTTTTGGGTGGGCTATTTCTCGGGATATTACAGCAGTTTTAAGTAATTTGCGATTTGATAGTCTCCTCAAGACGAGTCGTACTACTGAAGTTCTTTGAAGTGCCGGCAAGCCACAATAGCAACGAGCCGCTGCGCTCTCAAGTTTAAACCAAAATATAGGAGGAAAAAAAAAAGTGTAATGGCCATGCACGTGTACCTACAGTCGGCAAAGTGAGCAACCGCCACAACCTAGCATGTTCCACTGTGTTGCAACATACTCCATTTTCTAATGGCTCCACAAATCCTTCTTTGCCGCTATTCCCTCTCATCCAAGGAGAGGGGCAGTTGACTCAGTTAATTAGAAGTTGACAGGGGCAGCAAATCACTATGCAATGAGCAAATTTTAAGTTAAATTTGCATAAAGCCAAGTGACAGACAATGAACTGTGTGTGCGTGGTGACAGGTTCAGACGAGGTTCTCCCTGTAATGGTCGTAAAGGAAGAAGAGAAGGAAAACGAGAAGGATGTTCATGCGGTCCACGAGGAAGGAAGAGGAAGGCGAAGGTGTGCTTGAGAGAAGGAACAAGGCAGGATCGTTTGCAATTGGCTGGAGCAGACGGTCTCGGCCACACCCCGAGCCAACAATAAGAGGACTCGGCTACACTCCGAGGAACGGGACCTGGCAACTGGCATCGCTCCACAGGCCCGGCGTCCAAATTACAAGCGCCCATCAATGAACAAGTGATTCCGAGGCTACCAAGACTCAAAATCCAAGAGTGATTCGTCCGGGGACTAGACACCGTGGGTGGGAGTTACTAATGGGGCGGAGATGGATCCTTTGTAAACATAAAAACTAGAAACTTCAGCATTGTGATTTTCTTGCTTTGCGTTACCTCTGAGTAGCTTTTCCTTTTTCTTTTTTTCCTTAGCTTTCTCTTTCGTAAACAAAAACCTTTATTTCGATCCTCAACCGTCCTGCTGTCTCCACTCCTCCATATACCACCATATTAGCCCTGAGAAGTTCGCGTGGCGCCCCCTTACGGCAAACTGGGTGACGTCACGGCGAGGAGAGAATTTTTCCCGGACTCGCGCTGCTCGCCCTGTGGAGGCTGTGACGACGCTAGCTGTCGGCGCGCTCGTTTCTATTTATTTTTTTTTTTGCATGTTTTTCGTCAAAAGTGTAAATTTTTATATGTGCCTTTATTGAGGTATGGCCTGTAGCTACAGGCGAAACATCAACCAACATTTTAAGCATGGTTTTGACAGGGCAGGCAACGCATGAATCGCAGTTGGTATATGAAAATAAAGAAATATAGCCACAATTGCAGGAGCATCACTATAGATTTACATCTCGCACAATAAATGCTGCTGGTGGTCTGAATGAATTGGCAGGTTATGTATACTATTTTTTTTTGTATCTCTCTTTTTAAACAAGATCGCCGAAGCAGAAAAGCTGCACTCTGCTCGAGCAGCATGCTAAATACAGTCTGGGCCATGGGGAGAGAATCACAAGTAAGACAGCCCAAAGCAGGGGCAAAGTAAAAAAAAAACAAAAAAAACAAGGAACATTTTGCTATACATTGCTCTCATTTGACCTTTGCTGGATTCGGATAGTATTTCAATGGACTACACGGGTCGTATCTGTGGACTTATTTATATCAACCCTCAAGTAATGTGTAACAAACGTAAGCGAAGGTGTCTAGATCGTTATTAGTCCTTTAAGCCCTAAAATTGAGATTTCACTTAAATCGAATTGTCCTAAAGCTAAAATACCAGAAGCTTTTCTCACGCAGACTGTCGCCCTTCACAGGTTCCACATTATTTGCTACTAGTGCTGCATCTACCACTGGACAGACAATCGAATGCATGGTTTTACTCCTGTTTTCCTCTGTTGTCAGGGAGTCCAGCTGTAGGGAGTTTGGAGGCTGAGGAAGCTTTTGGGGACCTGAAGCAGTGTCTCTTTTAATGGACCTTTGTAGAAACATCGGTTCGAGAGTAAATGGTTCCAGTACCCTCTCTCTCTTCCTTCTGACCGAGCAGAGAGGGAAGATGGTTTCGTTGTGTCGACTTCGGGGCGGAAAATTACGCACGATGAGGACAAAGGCGAGTTTGGGGGAGCCGTATCTAGGTCACAGCGCCTCAATGGGTGAACAGGATGTAGCTGACGTTTTGGGTGTAAAACGGGTTGGAGAGGCCTTGCGCGCGCGTTGTTTTCTCGCCACTTAGCCTCGAACCCAGTCGCGTGTCTAGGTGGCAGCACATATTCGCCAAGAGGTCCATTGGAAATGACAATTCAAACTAAACGGTGTATTTTCCGAATGCCCAAGGCTGGAATAAAAATGTCAGGAAAAAGTATAAACATTCCAAATTACGGCACTATTGCTGTGCATATTTTGGGCAGTTCAATGCATATCATACAGGCAACTGGGGGCAATTCGGCCGTCTTTGCTGCTACCATACAAACTAATTTCCAGTAATTGTGCATCTTCTAAGAAATACGCCTGCATACGTGTATAAACCATATAATTAATTGACGAAGAAGCTACATTTATGTAAAACAACCCTGTTCCACGAGCACTCCAAAGATAATCAGACACAGGGCCTTTAAAACTTCTGCGAACAAGCGCATGCAGAGTGGCAGTGCAAAGTCGGGGTCGCGAGCTAGTTTGCCGACCACCCAAAGGCCCATGATACGAATGCCCCTTCAAATGCCTTGAAAGCGGGATGTAATATCGTTCTAAATCATGAACATGCAAGGAACAGAATTCCAGCGTCTGAAACACTTGCGGCACCGCTTCACCGGTCCCTCGCAAAATTGCCTTGTGTCGTGTGGACAGACGGGGAGGTTCATCGGAGGAATTGCCTCCGCCGATAGCTTTCGGGATTTGTAACCCAATTTTAAAGGTAAAAGGAACGAGCAGGCTTATAAAATGTACGGAAGCACGTCAATATCGGCCTAACTCAATGTCCTGTACACCGGGTAAATGAAGTCCAGCTCCTCGAAGAGCTTGCGGCACACAACACCAAACCAGGAAACCGGTGCTGGGGAGCGAACCGATGCGAGATCGCGGGGCGGAGTCATCGCCCTGACGTCACGGTACACCTCACCCAATCCGAGCGCGGCGACCGCAGCGACGCTTGTGTTCGCTCTCGGGGCTAATAGCACCCGGTCGAACGTGACACTTCCGTTTCGCCCGTTTGGTATTTGGAGTCTGGCTTTTGGGGTTGTGTTCTTAAAAGTCAGGTGGATGGCAATGCTATGGGTCGCACGCTCACATGACCGCACAAACACTTGATGCAGCGCCACGAGGTCACGTAACGTCACGATGCACATTGTGGTGTCGCAGGACGCTACGTCGTACGACACAGTATCGTGTGTCATCGTGAGACCTTGCACCATGTTGACTAAATGTGGAGCGACGTTTCTATCTTCTTGAGGAAAGTGTTTAAAAAAGTGCCACTGGCATCTGTACAAAAAGAAAGATGTGTGTCCCTCTTATTCATGTTTATTTATTTTTTTTTTCAGATATATGCATATGTTCCACACCTCAAAAATATGTACTTAAATATGAAGAAAAGAGGTGAAAGGCCCTTGGATAAGCTTATATTTTGCCGTGGCCTCTGTATAGGTGGCTGGCGAGTCAATCAATAAATAAATCAAATATGGCAGGTGGCCGGCGAATCAATCACAAAATAAATAAAATATGACGTGTTCAGCAACATAAAAAAATCAAAATATCACGAAAGATTTTAATTTTCAGTGGTCTCCATGTAAACATTATGACTACACCTCCAACACTTACTTAAAGGGGCCCTGCAATCATACTTAAGCGTCTTTTTTGCTGTTTACACATCTCTTGGGGTTCAAACAAGCCAGCGGGCACGGAGAGAGTAACTGAATATTAGTGCGTCATATTTTAACCAGACGACGCAAAAACCTCCTCCACCGACGGGGGCGACCCGCGGTACCGAAAGCGCGCGAAATGTGACGTCTTTGGTCGTGGGCTTACTAGTGGTCAGAGCCGCTAAAAGCTTCTTTTTAGTTGAAATGCAAAAATGGAAGTGGCGCGAACCGTTTCCATTATTTATAAAAGGAGTTTTTGTTCAGTATTTTAGATCAGAAAAGAAACAAATGCAGTTTATAAAGTACGGAAACAAGAAATGACCCGTCGACATACCCACCACCAAGCGGTGGAAAAGGCGGCGCATACTAGAAAAGAGTAGTGAGATCAGGCGCCGACACAAAAAGGTCCCGGATGTACGCGGCGGCGCTGCGGTCGTTTACGGACTGGAGGATGCGACCGGATCAGAGCGTTCTGAAGGCCTTCAGCGAGTAGCTTTGTCTTGTGTTTTGGCCATTTCGCGGTACGGTAGCGCGAAGTGGCTCCCGTTCTGAACTGATCTTTACCCCGTGTTTGCTGTCGTTTGTGGCCAATGAAAGGTCATGCCGAATTAGTGTTTAATTGTGCAGCAAATGTAACGAGAGCCGCTCTGGCTGCCCGCTGTATACAGCCTATTTAGAACACGCCTTAGTGGTGCTTTCTCGCGCCGTCGACACGGAGTGCGGCAGTCGTGAGCACTCGCTGAGCTCACTATCCCTCCTCTAGTTCACAGCCACTCAAGCAACCAAG